CGGGGCCGGGGGGGGGATCCCCCCCCCCCCCCCGCCGGGGCCCTTGTACAACATGACCATACGCAAATGTACAACATGGTGCTACCGCGCTGTAGATACAACTGCCGTATACGGATTCGCTGATCCTACAGACCTTGGGACTAGCAAGCGGGTCTTTTCTCTTTTCGATCTCTCACAGATTTTGTCCCGCGAGTACAGCTACTCACGAAGTAAACTATGTAGTCTACCGTAGGTGTCGAAAAATTGTTGGGAAACTTTTAAACTTTCGACGGGAGCGTGTAGAATGTACCGCCGTACATGTGCATACATATATCTCCAGATACATCTCCAACGGCGGACAGTGCAACCACCAGGATGAGAAAGAAAACCGCATTATTGCCGTGCACTCAAGGTCACCGTGCTCCAGCTAGAAAAAATGGCAAGAAAAGGGAACTTGGCAAAGCTCTCGCAGGTTAGAATATACTGTAGTCTAATGTTGGCTATTTCAGAACAATCGGCCCTCGTCCTACTAGACTACACGGGAGGGGGCGGGAGGAGGAGCCAGCACAAGGCTAGACAGCATGGGCTACAACACCTCGTCTAGGGTTTGTGCGAGTCAAGTTCGAGACCTCTACGTCGAAGATGGGAAGGGCGTGCGACAATATCAGGTGCGGTGCAGCACTCGGTGTGTTGGAAGTTGGAATACCGTACAACATAACATTATTGATTGCATGCTGCGAAACACAACAAGCATGTTCATCATGTAGAACGGGACCCTTCACTTGTCTAGTCGACAAAGTCCGAGATGCTCACATATATATGTAGCTCAACTCTGCTGAGATGCAGCCCCTTCTCAGAAATCGTACCCGTAGGCGAGACTCCTGCAGTATATTGAGTCAGAGGGCTGAAGAAAGAATGGCTGGGTTTCCGACCAATGACCGTAGAGGACAGAGCACGGACATGAAGGTCTAAGGTATAGCTGGGTCGTTGATGAAGACCTGTCTTGATTGCGGCACCATCGCTGTCGTCCGTGATAGTTTAAGTAATTGGCTAGAAAAGGGCGCTCGCTCAACCTACGGTTGAGTCCCCCCTACCCCCCCCCTCCCCTTCCCTATAACCAGTTTTAACGTGCGCCGGCGATCGATGGGGCGACGAAAGGAAACAACAACGTTGAGAGCGGTCGTTAGGCCCAGGATCTCCATGAGGAATCATTGTGGCAAGGAGCTTGAAGGATAAGACAGGGCACTCCAACCAAAGTGCTCTTCGTATGCTTCACCGAAGCGTCAGAGGCACGCCTTGACTAGTGACGAGGATGCCGGCCAGCTCGCGGAGTTCTATTAGGTACTTGCCATGAATTTGAGGGTGTTTCGTCGTGTTGCGGTTTGGCAACGGACCATATCTGACACGATAACCCGCTTCGTAGCTTGGGACTCGTGCGAGAGAGCAAGTTGTACAAGGATGTCTGGAGAAGATGCGGGAAATGCGATCGAATGGAAAAGGTATTGAGAAGGACAGCTTCTGGTGCGGAGTAGTCGTTACAGGAGTAAAACTGGGTCTCTAGGTGTCTTATTTGTGTGAGGCAGGTTCGTCCAAGACCATTTCGTACAAACAACCTCAACTCTGACAGATTGGCAGAATATAGCGTCGAAAGAGGGATATTCGTTCTGGAGGCAACCCCGATCGCACACAGTAGAAGCGAATATTAGGACGATAAAAGACACCACGTTGGAGGTAGAATGTTTTAGGAGGGCGGCCGTGATTCTTGACAAACCATCAATTCAAAGGACCAGCGCGTTATTGTCCGAAGCCGAAACCGAGAATTGCGAGCCTGGAGTTCCATCCGTCGGAGAGAACGACGCGCTGTGGGCCGCATGAGCGCCCGGTCCTTGCTTGTGGAGTAAGGGCAAGATAATAGGAGCCTTTGCGTATGCTTACAGGGAGCGATGGCCAAGTCTCGCATAGAAAAAATTGAAATGAGCTTCGGTGCACGCCTTGCAGCCAACAACTCTGGCGCTCTCGCCAACGAGCCGCATCCATACGAACAACGTTGTTCGGTGCTGTTGTTAATGCGAGTATCGTTCGTGATATTGCCTTATTTTGCCACATCCGAGTGGTTCCCCAATACCTTATTTATACGATATGTACAAGCTAGTGGAACTTGCAACGATATCGTTACCCACAACAATTTTCCGCATGACCTCACCTACATACATGCGCAGTGGTAACCGCAACCCGAAAACACACACCCGACCAAACAAACCCCAACACGAAACCTCCAAGAAACTGCACATTTTTCCTCTGATTCTCTCGGTTGAACTGAACGAGAGGGACCTGTAGCTCATCACCCCCCCACAACCATACTGCATCAATGCTGCGGTGGAAACGGTCTCGTTTCTTGCTGTCGTAGCCCCAAACAACCGGAAGAAAGAAAAATGACTCCAGAATACCAAGACATAATGGCGAGTCCCCTCCCACACACGAAAACATTTTGAACCAATCCAGCCTTCCGTAAACCAACCAATCCGCCCCATCAACATCCATGAACGATTGTACTGCCAGGAACCAAAAACGATCCATTAACACATCTCGCACGTTGCGTGCAAACTTTACAAGCAGTAATGAGTGAACTGGCGATGATATACAGCGTTGTCGGGGGAAGGCAGTTGATTTGATTCAAAGGATACTGACCAACCTAACTGGCTACCGAACAGAAACGCCAGGCCTCTCCTTTCAGTCGATTCGGCGAAATGAACCACCAGCCAATTTCCAAAAAATAGACTACTACCAACACTGCAACGAATGGAGCCACTCAAATATGACACCTAGCTGATTCTTCACAAAAGTGCTGCACTTCATTGTGCATGAACAAACCAGCTTCGACAGTGGTGCGCCTTTCCTTAGTTCACAACATCCTTCTATCCCGTCGCTTGCCCTGTCGACGTGAACATAAATTGTGGGTACACACTCACATCAGGCTTGAGTGAGCCACATATAAATCAACATTAGTACCACCTGATCTCGTCTCCATGCACCTCATCAAGAACGTGGCGATTCAAAAAGCCCAACGCTATAAGATCAACCTCACATGTGCATCACAATAAAGCAAAATAGTGAGATGGCTTCTTTTAGCTCTTGGAAGGAGTAGTAGTCCATAATCAGTGGTCTCAACGCCACGCATTCCAACATGTGTACACCATGACAATTATACTGGTCTCCTCCTCAGGCCCATGCTCAACACGAAATGGCCTAGAAAACGGAATTATCATTGCCAATTATCCCCAATCTTTACGCAATGCACACGGCATCTCGAAATATGACTGACCTTCTCTGGCTCTTCCTTTCATGGAGTTGTCTAGAAGAAGATATCCTAACGTCAAGAATCCATCTCTAGTGAGCAGTCCGTCTCCCGACGACTATCAAACACTCAAGGCAGCAATGGTCTTTCGCAGTTCCTGGTCGAGGTATCAGATGTCATCATGCTCCCGGAAACATTGGACTCGACAAGCAAATTCCGTTTTCTAGCCGTCGCGTAAAGACACCATACATGTGGGGTCGGAGCGCGGAGAACGTTCTAGGAGTTTTCGGAGTTTTCCGAACTACAAGCAAAACAAAGTTCGAAAATGGAAAAAAAACACAGAAGAAACGAACGAGTAAACACCACACCGTGGCAGCCACCGCCACAACCACTTTCAACCAGCGGGAAGCCTCGCCTTGTCACAAAAGAGAGGAAAATACTGTACATCAACCAGCTGCCGCAACTGATATCAGAGGCGGTTGGAAGTCACTTTGTAGCTTCTGTGGCTGCATGAAAACAAGGAACACCGTACGCATACGGGAGTGGAAAGGTCCAAGACGACAGAAATATCGCAATTGGTGCAAATACTAATAGACAGACCCTTTTTGCCACGAAAAAATGAAAAATACGAAGAATGGTACCGAGGGTCCCTGGCCCCCTTCCTTCCACGTGTTATCATAGGCGAAAGCCAGCATGAGTCATGCACGGAATCACCGCTCAGAAACCCACCGGTGGTGTGTTTTTTCAAATGATCCGTCTTGAACCAGGACATTAAACTCGCGAGCCCCAACCTTCTGTGACAGCCGAGAGGTTTGTCAGAAGGACGAGAAATGATGATGCTGTGCGCTCGGCTCGGCACACCTCCAGCATTCACACCACCTGCCGAGTTGTTGACGTTGTTGCCAACACTAACCAAGGCTGACATAGCGGCGGACAGGGGGTCCTACAGATCGAATTCCGAGGGCCTACATGAAGGCAAAGTCATGGCATACAGCGCAGGCGGGAGGGTTGGGAAAAATGAGTTTTTGTATGGCGGTAGAGTATCACCATGGACCCTAACGTCCTTGCAAAAGAGTAACTCACGTCTGGTTTGGGGGAAAAGAGCGGGCGGGGGGAAATCGTCGAGACAGAGGGCACACACGGAAGTTCCACGCAGCGGCCTTGTGTTACCGAACATTTGACGTTTGAGCGCCCCCGGCAACAATGACTGCGCGTCATCCGACCTCCACAGACCACGAACAACATCGAGAAGCATGCAAACATCATAGCGGATGCATCGCGCACGCGAACGTGATAACATGAAAGAATAACATGAACGCTGCCGTCAGCACGCCGCATCCCATATTTTTCCGTACCAGTTGTCCAGAGGAGAGCCGCTACGCCCGTCATAGGGCATCGAGAGCGATCCGCCACAGCTGGCCCCGCTGGAATCTCCGATGTCGCTCCATAGCGGTGGCAGCGGTGGCGCCGCCGATGATCCCTCTCCACTACCGCCGCTGGGCAGGAACATGCCTCCGTCCAAGTCGTGGCCGAGCGCAGCCGCCCCTGCCGCCGTTTCCGCCGCCGCTGCCGCCACGTGCGGGTCCAGAGAAGAGTCTTGCCCGTCCTGTTTGGGCGTGAATCCTGGAAAGAGCCCGCACGGGGAACACAACGACGGTGGCAGAGCGGGGGTGCCGCCGGCCTGGGGGAAACCGCCACCGTCGTCGTAGCTATTGATCAGCGAGACCACGGACGGCACCTTTACCACCACCATCAGTCCACTGGACGGGGGCGAGTGGCAACGAGCACCGTCGGGAGTTGCCTTGATTTGCGGTGGTGGTGCTTCCCCTGCAGCGGTAGACCGGCCGCCCTCTTGGTCTTGTTGTCGTTCTTTTTCTTCCTCGTTCTGCTCGTGTCCCTCGCCGTCGTCAAGACGATCATCGGCGTACGGCTTCGTGGCGATTTTCGGCGGTGAGGAAGAGGAAGAGGAAGAGGAAGAGGAAGAGGAAGAGAAAGAAGGTTTCTCACCACGATGGAAGGCACCACGATGCAAGGCGGTAGAGAAGCATACCACATGATGAACCCTCGCGTTCCCGCAGAAAAAAAGAGCTTGCGGAGTTTCACCAAAACGACGAGTGTTCAAGAAATACACCGCAAGAAGTGTGCCGCGACAAACTACAAACCAAACTAACGGGTGGTGCGTCCAACTGCCGGCTTTGTCAATGGAAAGAGACCGGATAGATAGCAGATGTTTTCAACGCAATCGACAACGCGACCGACCACGGATTTACACGGTACGGGCCATAAATCAAGACACACCGCGTTACAAAAATAGAGGCTTAAAAACGTGCATAAACGATATGACGCCAGTGAAAAAGGATAGCCAGCTCAGGTGCATTCCACACTAAGCTCTACCATTAAAATGACACGACAACTTTGTGCTCGACAGCGACGTCGAAAAAAGAAATTCGAGCCTAAGTTGCGGACCCGCTCTGCGGGCACCTACTGTTCGTACCTCGTCGGGAAATGGTCGCCCCTGACCAATTCTCTGAAAGTATTTCTGCGCGTGGGTGCGGACCTGAGCAGGCGACCTCGTCGTAACGACAAACTTTGAAATCAACTTCCAGCTTTCTGTTGTCTTGCCCAACTGTCCCACCACGGAGAGAAACCGCTCGTGCTCGTCCTTCGTCCAGCGACCTTTGTTGCGGCTGAGTAGGTATGAATGCAGCAAGCACACATCACGAGTATGTTTCAAAACATTCATACAGGACGTGCCCACATTGTGTACGGTATGCATGGACGAACGGCCGAATCTTACTAGGCACGTGCTCGCATGATCCAGGACACATCGCAAATACAGATCGCCACGCAGGTATTAGACATGATTTCTATTGAAAGCAGGGGACATGGGTGAGGGGTCGGGAATGAATGCATCTGCTTTGTTTGGTTGGCACTGGTGAGCGATATATTTTATCATGACTCTTGACTACGTATGTAGCCAATGTATTACAGAAAGCTGATTAAAGTCACAGTTTGACACGTGCCCGATCTTGTTGTTCAATGTTCTACTCAAGCTACACACACGAGCGCGCGTCATACTCGGCGGCTTGTACATGCATGCCATGCGTAACCATTCATGCATGCCGAAATATTGTTGAACCAAGTCGTCAGTAATAGAGTAAAGACTGATCCAGTGACTCCAGGCAGTGTATTTCTGGAATTACTGCCGTGTGTTAGGGACATCTTTTCGTCGGAGCCTCCTTACATTATTGTTGTTTATGTTTTCTCCCTCGAGGAAGGTCTCCGTTTGACTTGATTGATTCTTCCCTCTGCGGCGGCCGTGGTGGCTGCATGTCTTCTAGAGTATTCCCGTCGAAGCTTCTATGGACGGTCAACGGGCAGAAGTACTTCCAGGAGGTTGGCCGGAAACTGTGGCCAAACGTTCATCACTTCCGTAGAAGCTTTTCCATCACCTTCATGCAAGATTCTACCACCACTCCCTACAAGACACCTTGAGTCCATGCAATTGCTTGCATGGAAGCCGCGGCAAAAAACCATCGGCTACACCTTTTCCATGGAAGCCTCCGTTGAGGCGTCCCATTTGGGCTGTCATGCCCGGCGCACTTAAAGTCACTTTCCGTGGGACTCGCGTTATTTTATTGTACCCATTTGCTACCGTAAGTTCTCCCGGTAGGGTTTCGGGGATAAGGTCAAGGAACTCACAGCAGTGTGTGTCGGGCGCGCCTACAATAATGTTGGGTTTTTGTCGTCGTTGTCGTCGTCGTCTAAGCGTTAAAAACCGTCTGTCCGGTGTCTGCTCAGCGCCCTCTGACATCCGTATACCGGTCCAAATAACTGACGCTGAGGACAACTTCCACGGTCGGTCACAGGCCAACTATCCGTCAGTGGGAAAACACCCTGCCTGTCTGTTTTCATGCGTGCGTGTGTATGTATGTATGTATGTGGTATGCATTATGCCGGGGAGTTATACCCTCCGATACTTTCTACTAGATGGCACTCTAGTAGCATGTTCTTAGAAAGTAAACAAAATCTCACAGAAAGATAAAAAACTACCTACCCGTTCTGCATTATTTGAAAACCTACGGGGTAATATTGGTCTGTCTGTTGTTGTTGCTGTTGCTGCTGTGTAATAATATATGTCTCCACGTCGTCAAATGTAAAGCACCGTTGGTTCCGGTGTCTGTGCTTCGCACCTTCTAACATATCCACCGGTCCAACTGACGTAGACGCCTTCCAGGGGTCACAGGCCAGCTACCCAAAAAGCCTACCGCCATGGATTTCAGTGGAATGCATTCATCATACAGACTGCAGTCCTCCAAAGCTGGCGACCATACACCACCAACAAATTTCTTGAAAATAACTGAAAACCGTGATGACTCTCTCTACATGTTCTGCTGTAGTGAGGGATCACACCCACACCCTTGGACAGATTTTGAAAGCTCATCGATTACTCTGCAGCAAACCAGAGGCGGTGCCAAAATGGCAGCATTGGAAGTGCTTTTTCGAGCTTCCGAAACCAAACGCATGTCGTTCACATTATTCCAAGTAATTTGTAATTGATTTCCTCGTTCTCTTCGTCGCCTATTTACAATCAATATCCATTGATTGTCAGAGAGGACCACAGTCCCTGGATTGTAAAAAGGCGCACCCCCTAAATAGGCGCTCCCGTGTGGTTCTCTCTGACAATCCATGGATTCTAAATAGGTATCCATGGATTGTAAATAGGCGCTTCCCTTCGTGGAGTAATCGAGCTGTAGCACACCCAGGGGGTGTGGTATCTTACGTCACCTACCGTGCGAACGAAATTATATAATGTCTGCAGAACTAATCTGAGAGAAGAAATGATTGTTCCACCAAACAAGTAAGTGAGTTGTGACGCCCTCTCCGCAATATGAACACACATGGTTTGGGTGTGTGTCTATCGTCATGATGTGATGATTCCATCCAATGTTTGTTAGAAGGATGGTGAGAACAAAGCATCATGGATCGCACGCGTGTTCGTAGTTTGTTTGTATCTACATATATATCCATAGTGGTTGAACTTCTGTGACGCATTACAGGCCTCCAGCGAATAACTTTCTGTGTGACGCTGGAAATGCACCGATGCTTCCCTTCCTCACTTCCTTCTCTGCCAGGGTGCGTATCTCTCCCCGACCGTGGACACATACACTCCACCGCACTTAACACTTACCGGCGCATTGGAGCAACGAGATACTCGAGGTAGGGAGATCGTAGATGGCGGATATTGGAGGGTATTTATTGCCGCCTTTCCGCACTCCTCGCAGGTCTCCCGGGCAGGTGCCAGCGAGCCGATCCCGCCGATCGATGTCGACGAGATCGATCACCACCCGTTTTCCCTGTGTCACAGACGAAGGAAAGCGTATTAGTAAGCGCGACGGTTGCGCGCTCACAAAGGCCTCCTCGCTGAGGTCTCGTGTTGATGATACGCTTTACCTTTGTACTGCTGTTGTGTTGAATATCGGCGTGACGCAAACCCGGACCGTTTCAGCGCAAGAGAAACAAACCGGTCCCACAAATATTTTCCGGAACGAAACTGTACATATTTGAGACAAAATAGAAAAAAACTCGTGATGGCTGCTGCTGACACGTTACGCCGCATCAGTGCCATGTTCCCAACGCGCCCTAATAAATTCCCCACGTCTGGTCCCCACAGCCGTCAGCCGAAGGATACGTGGACGGCGTACTCCTCATCATGTGGCCCACGACTCGTGGGGGACCCGATCGTTGGTGTACTTCACCAGATTGGACTTCACTACTGAACTTCAGCTGTACAGCATCAGAGGAGACTACTGCTGTAGACCACAAACTGTAGTGGACTGCTGTAAAAGTGCGAGGCTACATCGGGCTGAGTGAACGCAAATCACCTCTAGTTCTACTTGTACCTTCCGAGCTGACTGCGTTCGTTCAACCCACGTTCAGGTGTGTTCGTGATGTTTTGCATGTGCGCTGTTGAACTACGAACTACACATGCAAGATGCATCATACAACAATGCTTCATCCTCCAGCTCCTTTAGATGCATGTACGTACGGTACAGTCGAGGGACCCTTTTAGTGCCGGTACGTGCACAGAGCGTTCACCGGCACTAAATCGGGCACCCGGCACTATTGCGAATAGTGCCAAAACGGCACTATTGAGGGCTGGCCAATCCCTCATTAGTGTTCGATTTATGGTGTAGCGCCCACGCTTACGGGGCCAACAAAGAACGAAATGGATCGACACTATTACTGTACTGTTGAGTGAAGTTCCAGCATGGGCGTGGGCAGAGTTGAGTTTTCTTTTTGTTGTCTTGGGGCGCTCTTTGGTTCTTCATTTTCTTCTGCACCTCACTTATTTGCTTATTTGTGTACTGTCGTCGGGACAAATTCTCTCCTGTTTGCCTGGCGCACCCGCTTCGATGTTGCAAGAAAAAAAAAACGACAAGCACGACAGGCAGCGCACCGCAAAAAATCAAACAACCGTTACCACAGCTGTAACCCCTGCCCTCACTACTGTACGTCGGGACAAATTCTCTCCTTTTTGCCTAGCGCACCCGCTTCCATGTTGCAAGAAAAAAAAATATATGACATGCACGACGGGCAGCGCACCGCAAAAATCAAACAACCAACCGTTATTTTAGTGCCACAGCTGTTCCCCGCCCTTACTCCGTAGCAACAAACTCCCTCATGTCTGCCTGGCGCATCTTGGTCTTCCGGGCTTTCTCTAGTAGGTCAAGAGCTATGGCGTCCACCTATTGACCGTCAAACGAGGAGTAAACAATAAAGAGGGTACAAAAGATAGCACTGTTATGGTATTTGGAGGTAGACATGTGATCGTGGTTGATCATGGTTATTTGGCGCCGTCGGATGCTAAGACGTGACGTCATGCTAGATCAGGGCTTTATGCCGAGACATGTGCCCTTCTGTTCAGTGTGTGCATACAGGCGATCTATGATCGTGTGTGCGTGGGATATTGTGAGTTGGCTTGGAAAGCGTTAATAATCAAGAGAAAGAGAACAACGGAAAGCAACAACAACCTGCTACTGTGGTCGGACAAGAGAGTTCCACACAGCTCAAAGGTGATTGATTCTGAAGGAAGGGGTCAAATACCATTACACTGGCGTTGTTGGTTTTGGTCGTGTTGCTTGATTCTTGCGTTCAAGTGATTTTGATTTTTTCGCTTTTTTGCAGTCTGCTGAATAGCGGCAGGGCAACAGCCTTGGCCCTGCTTCAGCATGTCGGCTCCTGATGAGCCGCGAGGTAGCAGCGACTCTGCTGCCTCGACCCCGGTCCGTTTGTCGCCGCACAACACTCCTGATGATGATGATTCGCATGCTTCGCGTAGGTCGCTCCGTGTTGATAAGGATTCGCCGAATGCCTTCTTGCATGTTCGTGGTCGGACTTTTCAGCAACAGCAGCAGCAGCCACAATCGCGATCGCAGTTCGAACGCACGTTAGCAGACGTAGACTCTCAGGAAGATGATGTTGCACGATCGCACACTGAAGGCCTTGGTCGCGCGCCGCGCCCCAGGTCTGTGCCCTCTCGTGATTCAGCTCGCCGCTGGTCATCAGATATGGCACACCGCCTTGAGACACCTGCAGAAATGCAGATGCGCTCGGTGGTTCAACGCGCACACTCACACCCCGCATCCAATTCCGAACACAGCAATGTGCCGGAATTGGATGGTGAAGGCTCTCGCTCTCCGAGTTTGATTGAAGCCTCACGCACGCACACGAATGAAGCTCACAGCTCCATTGTACGCGTGTCGGACGCCCCCAGTGGCGCGGTCGAGTCTAGTACTCCTGCCCCTGGTAGCCCAGCTGTCGCTGTCGGCATGTTTGAACCCCAGAGTTTGAATTGTTCCGACGCCAGCCCGGCTGCATCCCATTCCGAGCGCGGATATGTGCCGAATGTGGATAGTGTTGGCTCTCACTCCACGAGTTTGATCGATGCCTCACACACGCACTCGATTGGAGTTAGCAGCTCCGTCGAACGCACGTCAGAACGCACCAGCGGAGAGGTCGCCTCGAGCGATTCTGCCCCTGGTCTCGCTGTCGCAAGCCCCCGAGAAACTATCAAAACGTTATCTCGGCTGCATGCCGACGCCCCTTCTTTATATATAATTTTTAAAAATTCCAAAAACCGAAAAACCAAAACGCCAAAATACAGCCACCATGGGGGGGTGGTCATTTTTGAATGCTCGTTTCGCGCCCCGGGTGTGCGGGGCGCACTCCACTTTGAGCATCATGGCACCCACAACAAGAGGAGCGCATAAAGCAGGGGGGGAGACCGCGGCACCCTCAGGCCGTTCAGGTCGCCCTGTGGTCGGCACCAGGGCTACCCGCAGCAGCGGCCGCGGTCCGCAACAAGCAGCGAAAAAAAATTCAAAAACAGCACCCTCGCAACGCACGCGAGGCGCGGCCTCTCCCTCCCGCCGCGTAACACGCGGAGCTCAGCGAAGGAGGATGCTGCCGCTGATGGTGCCACATACCCTGCCTCTGCCACGGCTAATGCTGCAGAGGCGTTGGCAGACCTAGCGCAAGCTGAGGCGCCTCCCGCTGCTCGTGCGGAGTCTGGAGGACTCACAGCGCAGCCTGTCTCTTCGCCGGCGAGGGCGAGTTCTAGGGGGAAGACGCGACGTGACTATAGGTCGATGCACGAAGGCACGCCGCCAACACCTAGTCACACGGCGTCAGGGCGTCAACCTTCAGCGAAGGAGAGGCGTGAAGAGCTTCAGCGGCGAGCGATGGATATGCCAGAGAGCGACGACAACAACAGCAGCAGCAGCAGCGGGTGCGGCGGCGGCGGGTGCGGCGACGGCGACGACGATGACGACGTTGGCCGCGGCGCCGAGGAGGAGGAAGGAGGAGGAGGAGGAGGAGGAGGAGGAGGAGGAGGAGGAGGAAGAAGAAGAAGAAGAAGACGAGGAGGACGAGGACGAGGACGAGGACGAGAGCCGTGCTGTGCCGGACGGGTTCGACAAACAGAACACGGTGAGAGCGGGAGAACATTGGAACATGACGGAATTATTCTGGAGAGGTGCCGTTATTTTTTTGCGATCTTGCTGCAGGTTATGTACATGCACTTCTGTTCTACGCTGCCGCTATTGTAGGTGGTTGGAATTGCGAGGGATAGGCTTGTAATTGTATCTATGTGGCTCCGATCCCATACATAGGGGTCCAACGAAAAAAATTAAATTATTTCGCGCGAAGCGCGAAAAGAAGGGTCGGAGAGAGACATCACAGCAAGCGTAGATAGATATGGATGGAGCCTACGCCACCACGTAGGTCACCAGTGCGCACGCTCACACCTCACCCGATACCACCAGTCAGCCAGGGGATGAATGGGAGAGCTGTTTAGCTCTCATCATCATCAGCTCAGCGGCAGCAGTGCTGCTGCTGCTGCTGCTGCTTGCTGTTGCTGCGGCGCTGCTGCTGCTGCTGTGCATGGGTGCGCACTTGCTTTCTTCGCTTTCGCTACTATAGCAGAGGGCAACAGGCTCGAAAAATTGGGCCCGACCCCTCCCACGACGTGCGTATTTGGCCGCCCATGGCTTACAGCGCTGTGTACGTCTCACTTGTTTCTGTTTCTGGGGTGCATCTGTTGTGGAAGCAAAGATCGGCCGGCAGACGAGAGACAGCAGACAAAGATCTCACTTGTGTGCACTCGCATGTTCCCTCGCTTACGCTGCTAGCAGTAGGCCTCGGGGTCTAAAAATAGCTTCCGACGCCAGCCATGATGTGTGCCTTTGGCCGGCCTTGGCCTACAGCAGTGTCTAGGCCTCGTTTTCTCTGTTGTGGGGATACGTCTGTGCGGGAAGCTCCAAAGATCGGTAGGTTGAGGGTGATGCAGACGGACCGCGGGTTGACTTGCGTCGTCACTCGCTTGTGCTGCCGACAGCAGGCAACGGGCCGCAAGAGTCCCACCCAACGCCTCCCATGATGTATGCCTTTGGCTGCCCTTGGCCTACAGCAGTCCGTATACTGCTGTGCTGGTTGTATCGTACGTTGTCTACGTGATGTGTATGGTGCTGCTGTGCGAGAGGATTTCAGTGATTCTGCCGAGAGCGTCGTGCCCATCGCCCAATCATCTGTCTCTGTCTTACAAAATGTCTTACAAACTCGACGGGTGATTGGTGGGAGTCAGGCATCTACCCGGCTCTACCCCTCTAAACATAGATAATTGTTGGAAGTTCTTCCGTGTCTTACAAAAGAATTGCCCGATTTATGGGTGCTCTGCCATCTATGTTGGTCAGCGTTCATGTGGCGTGTGATTGAGGCGTTTTTATCCAAATTTAAGTCTACACACACACCCGCTGTGTTCCACTGTTGCATCTCTCTCCTGCCGCTTGAATATATGGGGTTTAACGGCTTTCTGGCCGCACCAGTATAGAATGCTCGCTCGCGACGACACAAACCTCGAGTCGCGAGTTTTTACGTAGGGGTAGGCTTAGCAT